GCCTAGGCAACAAAGCGAGACTCTGTCTCAAAAAAAAAAAAAAAAAAATACTCTCTTCTTAGAGAAAACTTCATTTCAAGGAATTACAACTTTTTTCAGAAAATATTTTACTCTTCATTGCTCAAAGTAAAAGAAAAAGTCAAAAATAGTAATTTTGCTATAAAATTATACTTTTTTTGAGGAATAATTGCTTCTCTAACAAGAAAAGATGGGGAGAATTAGATAATGAATCGAATTTTCATTTGTATAAGTATAGTCTTTTTTCATAACACATGTTCCTGTTTACAATTTAAACGTACTTTTTTTTTTTTTTTTTTTTTTGAGACAGAGTCTGACTCTGTTGCCCAGGCTAGAGTGCCGTGGTGTCAACCTAGCTCACAGCAACCTCAGACTCCTGGGCTCAAGCAATCCTTCTACCTCAGCCTCCCGGGTAGCTGCAACTACAGGTATTCGCCACCATGCCCGGCTAATTTTTTCTATATATGTTTTTAGTCGGTCAATTAATTTCTTTCTATTTTTAGTAGAGATGGGGTCTCGCTCTTGTTCAGGCTGATTTCGAACTTCTGACCTTGAGTAATCTTCCCGCCTTGGCCTCCCAGAGTGCTAGGATTACAGGCGTGAGCCACTGTGCCTGACCTTAAACGTACTTTTAGTTATATGAAAAATTTACTTAAAGTAAAACCTGGCAATGTTGAGTCTTAAACTTCCTACCAGCACTTATCCATATAAGGCACATTGACTTTCTGTTTAATCTTTGTAGCTTTTATTTATATACACAAACTTGGTTTCTAGAGATTTTTATGAGCGGAAGAATAAATAATGTGTCTAAAAAGTTTCATAAGGAAAAATTGTGGATCAACTTTTTTTTTTTGAGAGTCAGAGTTTCACTCTCTCACCTAGGCTGGAGTGCAGTACTGTAATCATAACTCATTGCAGCCGAGAACTGCTGAGCTTCAAGCTGAGCTTCAACTGCTGAGCTTCAATCTTTCTGCCTCAGATTCCCAAGTAGCTGGGACTACAGGCATATGTCACCTCGCCCAGCTTATTTATTTTTTAATTTTTGGTAGAGACAGGGTCTTGTAATGTTGCCCAGGCTATTCTCAAACTCATGTCCTCCAGTGATCCTCCTGCTTTAGCCTCCCAAAGTGCTGGAATTACAGGTGTGAGCCACTGTGCCCAACCAGTCAATATTGTTATATCAAGTCTTTATGGCTTTTGTCAGTAAGATAATATCTACAAAATTATTAAAGAATCATTATAGTATTAATATAATAGCATTAGGAGATTTAAAGATATTTTGTCTGGGCAGGTAATGCTTGTAATCCCAGCACTTTGTCAGGCTGAACCAGGAGAATCCCTGAGGCTGAAAGTTCAAGACTAGCCTGAGTAGGCCGGGCATGGTGGCTCACGCCTGTAATCTAGCACTCTGGGAGGCCGAGGCAGGTGGATCACTCAAGGTCAGGAGTTCGAGACCAGCCTGAGCAAGAGTTAGACCCTGTCTCTACTAAAAATATAGAAAGAAATTAGCTGGACAACTAAAAATATATAGAAAAAAAATTAGCCGGGCATGGTGACACATACCTGTAGTCCCAGCTATTCGGGAGTCTGAGGCAGGAGGATCGCTTGAGCTTAGGAGTTTGAGGTTGCTGTGAGCTAGGCTGATGCCATGGCGATCTAGCCCCAGGCAACAGAGTAAGACTCTGTCTCAAAAAAAAAAAACCCAAAAAACCAAAACAACAACAAAAGAAGACTAGCCTGAGCAATATAGCCAGATGATGTCTCTACAAAAAATAGAAAAATTAGCCAGATGTAGTAGCATGTGCCTGTAGTTCCAGCTACTTGGGGGCTGAGACAGGAGGATCATGTGAACACAGGAGTTTGAGGTTGCAGTGAGCTAATGATGCCACTGCTCTCTAGCCTAGGCAACAGAGCCAGACCCTGTTTCCAAAACAAAAAAAACACCCACAAAAAAGAAAATTTAAAGATATTGTGGTTACTAGATAAGGTAAAACTAATCTTTTAGAAATAGAGCTCATTTTAGTTTTTAAAATAAAGAATTTGCATCAGTTCCTATAAGAATTTAGAAATAGCCATATGTTTTGACAACTCTTTTGACAGTTACGTAGAACAGCTATCAAGGGTAACAAAAGCAAAATATATTGATTAAAAAGTTCAAATGTACAAAAACTAGGAGCAGAAGCATTTTTTTTACAGTTGTATGTTGCTACAGCTTTTACTGGAAAATGTTAGTCAAAAAGAAATTAATGGTGAAAATCTAGTATGATTTTGACTTAAATTTTCATTTTTATCAGTTTCTTAAAATATTACTTTATATAATAATTTAGAAAGAAGAACCTAATACATTTTTAAAATAAAAAAGACAGTATTACTCTGGATAGAGATCAAGGTAGAATTTAGAAGACTGTACTATAAATAGGAATTATAAAAGCTAGGTCTGAATTGAGTAGTATGTTTTAGTGCAGAAACACCTAGGTAAGTTTAATTAATTTTTTTCTCTTTTTCCCCCCTGGAAGTATCCTTTTGCATACACACAGTTAGTTTGGAGTAAATGACTTGTATTTTGAGCTGTTTTAGATAATGTTTTTATGTTTATATGATGTACGGTTATATGATTAGAAGTATTTGCCCAGATTTGTAATTTAGTAAATAAACCATTAAAATCAAAGATGCTATCTTTTAATTCCATACAGTTTGATTTTGCTGGCAGAAAGACTCTAACTTTTATTCATATTATTAATCATTGTTTAGAGACATACATCTGAATTTAAGGCATTTAGGGCAAGGGTGAACAGTGAAAAATCCTGATTTCCATAAAACGTAGTATACAAGGTATTTCTTACAGAAATAATTTAACAAGGTGCAGTATTTTCATTGGTTTATAGTTTGTGCTATGTGGTAAATTTAGTATTTCTTTTTCAACATAATTGTTACATTTTAAAACAAATTATGTTTCTGATTGATTTTGTTATTCTTTCTGTCACATTTTTTAGACATTGTTTTTAGAGCAATATTAGGTTCACAGCAAAAATGAGCAGAAAGTAGAGTCACCATATATATACCCTGTTCCTGATACATGTAATAGCCTCTCCCACTAACAACACCTGGCACCAGAGCAGCCTGTTTGTTACAATTGATGAACCTACATTGACACATTATCATCACCCGAAGTCCATAGTTTAAATTAGGTTTCACTCTTGGTAATGTGCATGCTATGTCTTTATGTATAATGACATATATCCACCATTGTAGTACCGTGTTTCCCAGAAAATAAGACAGGGTCTTATATTTATTTTTCCTCAAGAAGACACCGTAGGGCTTATTTTCAGGGGATGTGTTATTTTTTTAAGTACAGTACAACCTACATTTATTCAAATATAGTTAAGTCGTCTTCTTCTGGAACATCATCATAACTCTCCAAACCCTGAATTCCATCCTGAATTTCTTGCGGCTCTATTTCCTTTAGAACCACTGGCCCCAATCTCTCATGTTGAGCAATAGAGCTCTCATTAAATGAACAGGGCTGGCTTATTTATCAGAGATCCAGTGAGCACTGGGTCCAATCTGTACAGTGGAGCAGAAATGATCTCTCTGGGCTCAGTAGGAGACTGCTTGCTGAAGCTTTTCCCCATCCCCTGGTGTTTGTGGGGGGTGAGAGAGGCCCACAATGCTGAGTAAAATGGCAGCCACAGCTTTCCTTCTTCCCTCTGGGGACACACAATACCTAAAGCGGAGCATCCTGCTCCTCACTTCTCTGAGGAGACTTTCCCCTGAAAGCATCAGCTTGCAGCCCTGCATAGGATGGCCGTGACCTAACGGGGAGCCAACCTTGTTGGTGGGGATGCCCGCACCTTTCTGGTCACCTCTGGGATAGCAGCTGTCATGATGGGGCAGATGAGAAGGGCTGCTCGTCTTTACCGCTCTGTGAGGAAATGCATGGGTTGTGCAGATACACTGCATAGCTGTGCCCATCACTAGGTCTTATTTTCAGGGTAGGGCTTATATTGCACAAATGCTTAGAAATCCTGCTAAGGCTCATTTTATAGGTAGATCTTATTTTTGGGGAAACACGGTATCATAAAGAATATTAGTTACTTTTTTTTCCCCCTGAGACAGAATCTTGCTTTGTTGCCCTGGCTGGAGTACAGTGGTGTCATCATAGCTCACTGCAACCTCAGACTCTGGGGCTGCCTCATCCTCTCCTGCCTCAGCCTCTCGAGTAACTGGGACTACAGGTGTGGGCTACCAAGCCTGGCTAATTTTTCTGTTTTTTGTAGAGACTGGAGTCTCACTATTGCTCAGGCTGGTCTTGAACACCTGACCTCAAGCAGTCCTCCCTCCGTGGCCTCCCAAAGTGAGCCACCGTGCGCAGCCTATGACTGTTACTCTTTAATTCTGGGTACCTATTGGTTTTTAAAATTTACTTTAGAAGAATTTATTTAAACTCCTTTATACTTCAGAGGTGGGGAAAAATCTGTTGCCATTATTTCCCCATGTTTAGAGAGTCAAGTTTGAAGTGGGTTAGAGGTATAAATAGGAACTATTTAGTAGGAGAATCATGTGGGCAAGATCTTACTGGTTAGGATTCTGTAAACTTTCATTATATATAGCATATAAAGATTAGAATTCTTATGTTTTCTTTATTCAGTTTCCTTTTATGTTCATTGTGATGCATCAGTTGCAAACTATTTTCCTGTTAGTTGAAATTCTTATAGTAATATAAAACAACTTTTGATTCTCTAAAAATCCTTTGTTTTGAGGCTACAATTACGTTTGATTTCCCTTGATGGGTATTTGGCTGTTATTTACTTAGTGGGCTTTAACTCTTCATGTAGTTTTATGAGTTTTGTCTTTTTTTTATGATTCAGTTTTGAGAACAAATTTTAAAAGTTTTTGAATGCCTCACCATTTAAAAACATGTTTTTTTTTTTTTAACATTTTGAATAACAGTTTTTTTTGTTTGTTTGTTTTTAACCCAATAGTTTGCTTGCCTAAACTGGATTTGAAGCAATTTCAACTACTGGAGATCTGCCATTTTACAATATCACAATTGGAAAGAAGCAGGTTTTCAAATAATGGAAGAGTCTAAGACCTCTAAAAGTGGAAATCATGAACCAAAGAAGAATGTTATTTGTGAAGAAAGCAAAGCAGTTAAAGTTATAACTAATCAAACTTTGAAAGCTAGAAATGATAAATCTATAAAAGAAATTGGAAGCAGTTCTCCAAATAGGAATAGTAGTAAAAAAAATAAGCAAAATGATAATTGTACAGAAAAAACAGAAGTGAAATCATGTAAAGTAAATGCTGTTGGTGTTCCAGGCCCTAAAGATTTGGGGTTAGTCCTTCGAGATCAGAGTCACTGCAAAGCAAAAAAATTACCTACTTCACCAGTGAAAACTGAAAAGTCATCTATTTCACAGGCAAAATTAGAAAAGATACCCAATTTACAGGCTAAAGCAGAAAAATGCCCAAAGTCACCTAATTCACAGGTAAAAGCAGAAAAAGCACCTAATTCTCAGACAAAATCAGAACAGGTGCCCAGGTCACAAGCAGAAGCAGAAAAGGTACCCAGTTTACCGTTGAAAGAAAACATGAGACAGAAAGAATTACAACAGATTGGGAAAAAAATTCCAAGCTCCTTTACTTCTGTGGACAAAGTGAATATTGAAGCTGTAGAGGGGAAAAAGTCTGCTCTGCAAAACTCACCTCGATCTCAGAATCAACAAACATGTACAGATAATACTGGTGATTCTGATGATAGTGCTTCAGGAATTGAAGACATATCGGATGATTTGAGTAAGTACAGATTAGATTATTCCACAAGTCACATTTTTTGGAGGGATTTTCCTGTATTCATGTTCATTAGATTATCTCTGGTTTAACTACTTTAATTATAAAAGGACATTAGTAATGTGGCTCTTAAAGCTACAAAAAAGCCTTTCCATTTATTATGGTAGGTAAAAAGGCTGTGCAAATACAAATTTAGTGGCACCTTTTGTTGGTATGGATGCGGATGCATACATATACTCTTTTGAAATGGCCTTTGTAATATTAATATATTGCTCATTCATTCACTGAATATGTTTGTGTTGAGTTCTGTTATGCATCAAATGTGTGTTTACAACGGAAAGACGGAAAAAACCACAGTCCTAAACCTAGACCTCTAGTCTCATGGCAGTGATACATAAGTAAAGTGATTTTTAGTGCCAAAAACTTAATTCACATTGAGAATTCAAATTATTATGAGATTTAGACTTTGGGTTGAAAAAAAATGCATGATATGAACATGAGACTCTGAGTATTACTGAGACTCATTATGACTGGAGCAGGGAGTTGAGGGAAAGAGTGGTAAATAATGCAGTTGAAAGGGAGGGCACTCAGGCATTGGATAATCAAGAACCTTGTAAGCCATGATGGAGAGTTTGGATTTTATCATGAGTATTTTTGAGAAGCCATTGAGAAGTTTGTATTTTTTTACATTTTTTTTTTTTTTTTTTTTTTTGAGACAGAGTCTCGCTTTGTTGCCTAGGCTACAGTGAGTGCTGTGGCATCAGCCTAGCTAACAGCAACCTCAAACTCCTAGGCTCAAGCGATACTACTGCCTCAGCCTCCCGAGTAGCTGGGACTACAGGCATGCGCCACCATGCCCAGCTAATTTTTTCTATATATATTAGTTGGCCAATTAATTTCTTTCTATTTATAGTAGGGACGAGGTCTCGCTCTTGCTCAGGCTGGTTTTGCACTCCTGACCTTGAGCATTCCACCCACCTCGACTTCCCAGAGTGCTAGGATTATGGGGCGTGAGCCACCACGCCCAGCTGTTTTTTTACATTTAGATTGTAATCCCCTAAATGTTCTTCAGGAGAAGAGTTTTAAGTAAGGTAATGCTATGATCAGATTTTTCAAAAATCCTTTTGACTACAAGGCAGCAAATTCTTTGACAGGAACAAGGGAAACAGATATAACATTTTTACACAATTTACTGACAACGGTTGTAAAATTCATTTTATTCTGGGTCCTGATATTTGTTTTAAGTAATTGTTTAGAAATATTGTCCATATCTTTCAAGTAACTTTAATCCTGATTTTGTCTAAATTAAAGAATTTCCTTTTATAAACTTTTTTCCTGGTGTTTCTGTGGCCTTGATGTAAAAATAAAAAGCAGCCATTTGTGAATCATTATTTGCCACACTTTGAGATACAGTGGTAAAGAATTCAGAATTAGCTTTTTAATTATGTTGGTACACAGATGATGGAATGTGAATAGACATTTTAAAAATTTTAATAGAGTTATCTTTATGTGTATAAGAAAAAATCAAGCTCCTAATTATATATACATAGAGCTTAGGACAAGGCCAACTTAAAAAAATAAGTCAATTTAGAGATAGTATCAAGTAAAAAATACTGATAATGTTTAGATATGGCAAAAATTTAAACATGCACCTGAATGATTGAAGTTTGGGAAATAGTGGTGCTTAAGATAATTTAATTAAGGGTTTCATCACTTGAATTAGTGAAAAACCTGATTTAAAGGTTATTTTTAAACAGGCAATAAAATGATTGAGGTAACATTGTAAGATAGTTAAGAGTATGGGCTCTGGAGTGAAATTGCATGGGTTTTGAATTCCCATCTTCTCCAATTAATAACTTTGTAATCTTGAATCATCCATTTATCCCTTAAAAATGTTTTCTGATTTTTAAAAAAGTGGAGATGCTGCTGCCTGTTATGAAGGTTAGGTAAAAGAATCCAGTAGAGGTCGGCTGTGGTGGCTCATGCCTGTCATCCTAGCACTCTGGGTGGCTGAGGCGGGAGGATTGCTCAAGGTCAGGAGTTTAAAGCAAGCCTGAGCAAGAGTGAGACCCCGTCTCTACTAAAAAATACAAAGAATTTAATTGACAAACTAAAAATATATAGAAAAAATTAGCCGGGCATGGTGGCGCATGCCAATAGTCCCAACTACTCGGAAGGCTGAGGCAGAAGGATCGCTGGAGCCCAAGAGTTTGAGGTTGCTGTGAGCTAATCCAGTAAGATGTTTCATGTAGTATCTGACATAGTAGGCATGCAATGGCAATAAGTATTATTTATTATTATTATATTACTCCAATTAAATGGCTATTTTATTACTTGTTAATGTGGAGAACGAGTTGATCTAGTTTAAAGAAGCTACTAGACCAAGTAGAGAGGTCATTTGTGGAAACGTGGATTAGCCAATTAGTAAGAATGACTTCTAGTATAGGAGTCATTTTTCGCAAATAAGTACTTCTCATGTTTTAAAGAATTCTCTTCAATATGTGTAATATTTGCCTTGAAGTCATGGTCAGATATAATTGTTAAACATTTCTTTTTTACCATATGAAAAAATGCAAATTAATGATAATTGAATTAATGATTTGTCATTAGATTACCTATTGGTAAAATAAATAGAATAACATCTTTATATCTAGGTCATTATCTATTTGGACTTAAATAGGTATATAGAAATTTGATTAATCTCAATGTTCTCCATTAGGCCCAAATTTAACTCCTTCACCATTTTTCTTTTTGTCATTCATTCCATTCAATAGCAATCTTTTTTTTTTGTTTTGGTGTCTACTGTGTGCCAGGTACTGATCTAGTCGTGAGGAATACAGCAGTGAATGAAACAAATGACATGACTCTTACAGAGTTAATGTTCTAGTGGAAGGAAACAGAGAACAAACATAATAAATTTAAAAAGATATTTTAATTTAGGTGGTTATAAATCCTTTGAGAAAAATAAAACAGAAAAGGTCATAGAGAATGATGCTAGTGTTGCTGTTGGTGGTGTTTCAAATTTAAATTATCACTTAGAAAGTGGCATTAGAGCAAATACCTGAAGGAAAGAAGTGAATGAGCCAGGTGAATATTTGAGGAAAGCATTCTTGATCCTGGTTTCTCAAATTTTAATATATATACTTATCACTTGGGAATCATATTAAAATGCTGATTCCTGAGCCTCATTTCCAGAGATTTTTGATTCAGAAGGCCTAGGGTGGGACTTGAGAAATTGGATTTCTGACAAGTTCCCAAGTCCTGCTGGTCAGGATCCTGCTTTTGGGCAGCATGTCCTAATATCAACCTTTATTGTGTTTTCAACATAGTAGCCAGAATGATCCTATTAAAATGAGTCAGACTATGTTACTCCTAGACAGAATGTTTCAGTGGCTTCCCATACACCAGAGTAAAAGCTAGTGTTCTTGCTAGTAGAGCCCTATGTGATTTGTGACACTCCCTTACTTTTTTGCCCTCATTCATTTACTTCTTACCCTTTTCCTCTCTCTCTGCTCCAGCTGCATGGATTCCTTGCATTTCCTCAAAGGAGAAACCAGATGTCCATTTCAGGGCGTTTGCATTTACTTTTTCCTCTGCCTGGACTGTTTATCCCCTAATGTCCATACGGCTACCTCTTTTAACTTTCTTCACTTTCTTAATGTGGCTTTTGCTGGGTCACTTACCTAAAATTTATGGCTCTCCCTTTGCTTAATTTTTCTCCATAGTTCTTATCACCATCTGTCCATATTTTAATCTTATTTACCTTTTTATATAATAGTTTTATTGAGATATAATTCACCCATTTAAAGTGTACAATTCAGTGGTTTTTATTATACCGTATTCACAAAGTTGTACAGCTATCACCACTATCTAATTCCATTTTCATTACTCCTCAGAGAAACTCCATACCCAGTAGCAGTCACTGTTCATTACATTCTCCTCCTACCAATTGGCAATCACTAATCTTTCTATCTCTATTAATTTGCCGTTTTTTTGTTTTTTTTTTGAGAGTCTCACTTTGTTGCCCAGGCTAGAGTGAGTGCTGTGGCATCAGCCTAGCGCGAGCGCAGGCAAGCCCAAAAAGAATCCTTGGGGCTCGAAGGCCAATCCTCCGTGCCTCGTAGGGCCTTGCCCCAAGTAGACTGGACTACAGGCATGCGCCACCGAGGTGGCCGGTACATTTTTTGGTATTATATAGCTATATATATGCGGTGAGTATTGTAGCCGTGGGCCAGAGTTGGAGTTCTTCGATACTTGTGATAGTAGGATGGGTCTCGGCTCTTGGCTCAGGCTGTTCGAACTCCTGACCTCGGAGCAATCTGCCCGCCTCGCTCCGCAGATGCTAGGGATTACAGGGGGGTGAGCCACCGGTCCCGGCCAAGGCCCCATTTTTATTTTATATTTATTTATTTATTTATTTTATTTTGATATTTATTTTAGTTTTTTTTATTTATTCTTCGTCTTTCTCTCTTCTTCTTTCTTTCTTCTTTCTTCTTCTCTTCTTCTCTTCTCGTTCTTTCTCTTCTTCTCTCTTTCGTCTTCTTCTTCGTTTCTTCTCTTCGTGCTCTCTCTTCTCTTCTCTTTCTCCTCGCTCGCCTCCGCCTCCCTCGCCTCGCGCTCGCCTGCTCCGGCGTCGGGCGCGCCTCCCTCCTCGGCCTTCCCTCGCGTTTCCCTTCCGGTTTTTTGTGGAAGTGGGGTAAAGGTGTAGTGTTCGGCGTTTGTTTTTTTTTTGTAGATAGCTGGATCAGTATAACATTTGGCCATTGTGTCTGGCGTATTTTTTTACTGTAGCATCAATCATTGATTCAAAATTAGTCCATGTTCTATAGCATGTGAAATGTAAGGTACCATCATTCTTTGTTTTTTTTCCTTTTTTTTGTTGAGACAGGAGTCTGGCTGCTGGTTGGCCTGGGCTTAGCGATGCTGGGTGTCAGCAGTGGGGCTGCGAGCGCGAACGTCAAACACCTACGCTCAAGTGATCCTCTTGCCTCAGCCTCCCAAGTAGCTGGAACTACAGGCATGTGCCACCATGCCCGGCTGATTTTTTATATATACATTTTTAGTCATCCAGGTAATTTCTTTCTATTTTTAGTAGAGACATGGTCTCACTCTTGCTCAGGCTGATCTTGAACTTCTGACCTTGAGCGATCCTCCCACCTCAGCCTCTCAGAGTGTTAGGATTACAGGCGTGAGCCACCACGCCCGGACTACATCATTCTTTTTTATTGCCAAATAATATTTGATTGTATGGGTATACCACATTTTGTTTATTCATTTGTCATTTGATAGACATTTGGATTGTTTCCATCTTTTGATTAGCCTTAATAGTGCTGCTGTGAGCATTTGTGTAAAAGTTTTTGTATGGGTGCATATTTTCCTTTTTCCTGGGTATATATCTAGAAGTGGGATTGCTGTGTTTTATAGTAATTCTGTTTAACTTTTTTTTTTGGTGATAAATATACATAAGGTTTACCATTGTAACCATTTTAAAGTGTACAGTTCAGTGGCATTAAGTATATTTACAATGTCATACAATCATTACCACTGTCTAATTCCAGAACTTTTTCAGCATCCCAGTAGGAAATCCCATGCTCATTAAGAGTTACTCCCCATTCTCCACTTTCCCCAGCCTCTGGCAACTACTAATATACTTTCTATTTCTATGTATTTGCCTATTTTAGATACTTCATATAAATGGAACTATACAATATGTGGTCTTTTGTATCTATCTTTTACTTAGCATCATGTTTTCCAGGTTTATTCATGTTGTAGCATGTATTACTGCTTTATTCCTTTTTTAGGCTGAGGCTATGGACTGAATTAATTGTATCACCTCCAAATTCATATGCTGAAGCCCTAACTTCCAAATATGATTGTACTTGGAAATAGAGCTTTTAGGAGGTAATTAAGGTTAAATGAGATCATAAGGGTGGGGTCCTAATCTGATAGGATTGGTGGCCTTATAAGAAGGAGAAAAGAGAGAACTAGAAAGAGAGAGATCTCCCTAAGGAAAGGCCATAGCAAGAAGGTAGCTGTCTGCAATCTAAGGAGAGAGCCCTCGATAGACACTGACCCTACTGGCATTGTGATCTTGGACTTCCCAGACTCCAGAACTGTGAGAAAAATAATTTCTGTTGTTTAAGCCACTCAGTCTATGGTATTTGTTAAGGCAGCCTGAGCTGACTATGACAGTTGAATAATATTCCATTGTAGATATGCCATATTTTATTTATCCACTCATCAGTGATGGACATTTGGGTTATTTCTATTCTGGCTATTGTGAATAGTGCTTCTGTGAACATTTATGTACAAGATTTTATGTGGACATAGGTTTTCAATTGTTGTTTCATGGGAGTATTAACATCTTTGGAACTGGTGTTCTGCAGAACACAAGTTTGGGATATTCTGCCTGGTGTTGTTTTGTTTTATATGTTGATCCAGAAAATAAAATAATTTCATTTATTTCTGACTTTTTTTTTTGAGAAACAGGGTCTCACTCTGTTGCCCAGGCTAGAGTGTGGTGGCTCAATTATTGCTCACAGTAACCCCTTACCTTCTGGGCTCAAGTGATCACCCCACCTTAGCCTCCCAAGTAGCTGGGACTACAGGTGTGTGTCACTATGCCTGACTAAATTTTTTCTATATTTTGTAGAGATGAGATATGGGGTCATGTTATGTTGTCCAGGCTGGTCTTGAACTCCTAGCCTCAAGTGATCCTCCCACCTCAGCTTCCCAAAGTGCTGGGATTACAGGCATGAGCCATTGTGTCTAGCCTATTTTTTACTTTTTTTTTAATCTTTCTTTTTTTTTCTTTTTTTCACACCCCATTATCAAGACAGGAGAAATATTTTTGACTTTTTAATGTTTTTTTGGAGACCGAATCTTGCTTTGTCACCCTGGGTAGAGTACAGTGGTATCATTGTAGCTCACTGCAACCTCAAAACTCCTGAGTTCAAGCAGTCCTCCTGCCTCAGCCTCTGAGGTAGCTAAGACTTAAGTGCATGCCACCATGCTTGCCTAAATTTTTCTATTTTTAGTAGAGATGGGGTCTTGCTCTTGCTCAGGCTGGTCTCCAACTCCTGACCTCAATTGATCCTCCTGCCTCAGCCTCTCAGAGTGCTAGGATTACAGGTGTGAGCCACTGTGCCTGGCCATCATTTCTTCTTTATTTAGAAAATTAGGGTGAAGTGGCTCACGCCTGTAATCCTAGCACTCTGGGAGGCCGAGGTGAGTGGATCCTTTGAGCTCAGGAGTTTGAGACCAGCCTGAGCAAGAGTGGAACCTCATCTTTACCATAAATAAAGAAATTAGCCAAACAACTAAAAATAGAAAAAAATTAGCCGGCCACAGTGGCACATGCCTGTAGTCCCACCTACTCGGGAGACTGAGGCAGGAGGATCGCTTGAGCCCAGGAGTTTGAGTTTGCTGTGAGCTAGGCTGACGCCACGGCACTCTAGCCTGGGCAAGAGAGTGAGACTCTGCCTCAAAAAAAACCAAAAAACAAAAAGACAAAATTAGTCCTATCAAAAGGTAGAATTCTCTGGACATGGTGGCTCAGCATTCTAGGGGGCTGAGGTGGGCAGATTGTTTGAGCTCAGGAGTTAGAGACCAGCCTGAGCAAGAACGAGACCCTGTCTCTACAAAAAATAAAAAAAAAAAAATTAGCCGGGCATGATGGCGCATGCCTGTAGTCCCATCTACTCAAAAGGCTGAGGCAGAAGGATCGCTTAAGCCCAGGAATTTGAGGTTGCTATGAGCTAGGCTGATGCCACGGTACTCTAGCCAGGGCAACAGAGTGAGACTCTGTCTCAAAAAAAAAGGTAGAATTGACTTTTCAGGCTTCCTCTAGATGGTATATTGTTGGCTTTTGAGGGCTGTGTGAAGAGATTTGTTTATTATCTGTGAGAATTTTTTTTTTTGAACTGATTTTAGATACATTTATGAAAGCATCAGTTCTGGTATAGGAATTGTACCTGGTCATTAGCATCAAAGAATCCATCATCTAATGCAGGAAATAGACAAATGAATCCAAATTCCATTACTCTGTAAATATGAGATAATAGAGGGTAATAGGAGAATATAGAAGATACCAAACCAGCTTCTGAAACAGGTAGTGCTTAAGCTGAATTTTGAAGGACAGGTAAATATTACTAGTTGGATTGAGAAGGCATTGATGGAGAAGGAAATAGCATATATAAAGACATTGAAGCATCAGTGATTTATTTTAGCACCTTTAGTATGAATGAAGTGAAAAGTGTTAGGGCAGGCGGTACGCTCACGCCTGTAATCCTAGCACTCTGAGAGGCCAAGGCGGGTGGATCGCTCAAGGTCAGGAGTTTGAAACCAGCCTGAGCAAGAGCAAGACCCTGTCTCTATTAAAAATAGAAAGAAATTACCTGGATAACTAAAAATTTTATATATAGAAAAAACTAACCGGGCATGGTGGCATATGCCTATAGTCCCAGCTACTTGGGAGGCTGAGGCAGTATGATCACTTGAGCCCAGGAATTTGAGGTTGCTGTGAGCTAGGCATGGCACTGTAGCCCGGGTAACAGTGCCAGACTCTGTCTCAAAGAAAAAAAAAAGTGTTAGGGCAGGATCTGAGGTTAGAGATATAGGCAAATTAGCTCTCTTTCTTTAGGTTTTGGTTTAAATGCAATCCCCTCAGAGAAGCCTTCTCTGACTTCCATATATAAAGTTGGTCTTCCTGTCAGTTCCTTGTTTTTTTCCTTTATAGCATTTATTACAATTTGGAATTATTGTATTTGTTCTGCTTACTGCCTTCATGAGGGCAAAGGACTGTGTGTAATATTCTAGGGAATTTAAACTTTATCTTGAACTCTTTAAAAGCCTTTAAGTATTTTAGGCAAGAGAATAACATGATTCCATTTATATTTTAAAAATCATACAGATAGTAGACCCTATTGTGAGCCAGGTACATTATTGCCAGATGTTGGAAATGTGAAGATGAAAACGCATAGTCTATACCTTAAAGAGATTACAATCTAGTTAAGGGGCACAGAAATAAAGGAAAAATGTTGATCTAGTGGAGAACTTCCATGAGTTCAGTGGAAGCAAAGAAGGAGCCTTGTGGCTTGAGTATATATATTCTTTTAACTGCTAATGACTTTAGTTCAGTGACTAATCTTCTTTGGGACTCAAAATAGCTTTTTATCAAATTCACTTCAGATATTCTATAAGATGATTATCTTATGTTAGCTTTGTATAGTGTACTCTTAGTTATGTATGTGTCTTTTCTTAATAGTTAAGTTGGAAGAATGAGGTAGGCATTTGACCTCTGAAGTAGATTTTTCTTTGTGAATTTTGATACCATGTATTTATCTGTTTTATTTTATATATGTATGCCAACTTATGCAACAAAGGAAAATATAAAGAAAGAATTTTTTTTCTCTGTGTGTATAAATTTAATGTCTTTTTTTATTAAAAATTAAAATTTACCAGTTCTGGTGATGATAACTGATTACTTCTTTTTCTAGGCAAAATGAAGAATGATGACTCTAATAAAGAAAATTCTTCAGAGATGGACTACTTAGAAAATGCCACTGTAATAGATGAATCTACATTGACACCTGAGCAGAGGCTGGGCTTGAAACAAGCAGAAGAACGCTTAGAAAGAGATCACATCTTTCGACTTGAAAAAGTATACTATGTTGTTTTAGTTATTTGGAGGGAAATATGTGCTTTATAACTTTTCTTTCCGAAGGACAGCTCTTTTTTATTTTTTATTCATAAGACAGAGGTTGCATTCATCTTTCCTTTTCTCCCTTTTTCCTTCCTCTCATCTTCTTTCCCTCTTTTTCTTCCTTCTCTCTCTTTGTTTAGCAAATACTTAAGGTCTGTGAGTCTGACTTCATTCATTCATCCCAGGGATAGGCAAACTCTGCCCTACTCCCTTGTTTTTGTTTTTGAATATATTAAAATACACCTAGCCCCTTTTTTGGTAAACAGTTTTATTGGACTATAGCTGTGTGCATTTGTTTACATGTTGCCTGTGGCTGCTTTCATGCTACCATGGCAAAGTTGAGTAGGGTAATTGCCAAAGAGGCTGTGTAGCTTGTAGAACATAAAATATTTACTATTTACCAAAGCATATAATATTTATCAAAATATTACTTTTGCTCTTTACTGTCCTCTCATTTATTCACTCATCAAACAGATACTGACTGCTTATTATGTATAAGGTACTGTGCTAGGCACTGGGGATATATTGGTGAAAATGGCATAGTTTCTCCTCATTAGAAGTTAAAAGTCCATTTAGATTGATGGAAATAAATTAGCACATACCATATAATGTACTAGAGTTCCTCCTTTTTCTCTTGCTTTTCTTCTCTATTTTTTTCCTCTTATATTTACTGAATACTATGTATTAGCAACTGTTCTAGTCACTGATACCTTGTTCCTGAGTACTAATTAATTTCTTAGCATAAAAATACACATTCCTAGCCTCAGCTATAAAAACACTGCTAGGTATTGAAGGAAAGAATCACAAATCACACTTCTGACAAATAGATACTTGGAATATTTGTGATTATGTATACAAGGAAATAAGTCATCATTCTCGAAACAAGAAAGAAATGGTATGATTCTGTATAGTTTAGAAAAATGAGATTATATCTAGATTGAAGAAGATAATCCTGGATTATTAATAGGACAGAGTAGTCACCATATGAAAAGACAAAGGCATATCAAGGAGTAGAGGACCATAATATAGGAGAGAGTTTGGGTTGTATAGCAAGTCTCACAAGATCCTACCTAGAAGGAAGTCTTTTTTGCAATTTTCTATTTTACTTAATTCTATCTTTAGTTAGTCCTCTTACTTTTCCTCTAGTAAGCCTGAAATTAGTAGTTATTTCTGGATCTGTCCATTGTCAAGATAAATACTGATTACCTTTTATGTATTGTGGTCTGGTGATAAAAGGTTAAATTCAGGCATGCCTGAAATTTTTAAAAACACTACTTTTTTAGGAGTTTACTAATTAGAGAAAACATGTAAGCAAGTAATAGTAATAACAATATTGTTTGAAAATGGAATCATAGACAAAAAAAGTGCCCAGCTTGAATTGGAGGTATAGAGGCATCAGTTTGGGGAATGTTTCTTTTTTTTATTTTTATTTTTATTTTTTTTTTTTTTTTTTAAGAAATTACTATGAAATTCCATGGGGAATGTTTCTTAAGGAGCTGACATTTGAGTTGATTCTCAAAAATTGGCTAGAAATTGATTAGGTGAATAGGGGAAGGGTGGTTAGGTAAATTATATACCATGTAAAGGAAATGTGAAAATTTCTTTTCAGGAAAAATAAGCAGGGAACTGGATGGGAAGATACATAGAAATAAAGCAGGAAAGGTCAGTTTGTGGGAAAAGGAAGGAATACGTTGGGGTAGAATGGGTATTTGATGGTAGTAGGAAGCTATGGCCTGGAGTGAAAGGAAATCTTGGAAGCATTGGAAAGCGGTTTATTTGTTGTTGAGTTTAGACAGTCAGCAATGATTTAAAGTCACTGTGCCAGTACCAACATAGATGTCTAATCCCTTCTCTTTCTGACACCTCTTTATTTCTTATGCCCTCCAAACCTCTTATTTTCAATTCATTGTACTCTTAATTAACATTTTTCTTTACAAGCTTTAGACATTCATTAAGAATATCCTTCCCAAGTTCTTTTGATTTCATCAGGTCCTTTCATTCACAGTGTACTCATAGATTATCTAGTTGGGGAGTAAAGATACAAATTTTTTGCTATGTACCAAAGAAGACATAAATCCAAACCATCAGATTTGGGTAAATTTCCATATGGTGAGTGTTAAATAATGACTTGGAAATACTTAGAATCTTATGCCCAGAAATCTTTCTTCTGGCTTGTCTGCAGAAAGTTTAAAGAAGGTTCGTTAGTCTGTTTGTTTAATGGTAAAATAAAATATAACTATAATAAAAGAAATATTTACACATTTTTCATATGTTTTTTCTGTAAAACTAGAAACTTTGTGATGGGTGAGAGCATTTTTGTCTTCTTTGATATCATGCCTATTGCCTTACCTTGCTCAAAGCATTTGGTTGCTAATTAGAGGTAATATGCATAGTAGTCAAATGCATTGATTTTGGAGTTACTGGGTCTAGCTCTGCCACTTACTGGTTGGATAATATCAAATAAATTACTTAACCTCTTTAAACCTTGGTTTCTTCACCAGTAAAATGGGATTAACAAAAATAACAACACCTAGCTCATGGGGCTGTTATGAAGATTAAATGAGAGAATACAAGTAAATTTCTTGGCACAATACCTGGTATGTAGTAAGTACTAAATAAAGATTAGCTACTTGTAGAATTGAATTGTTTTGCCAGGCAGGGCAATTTTTATTATTTTATAAATAAGGAGATAGACTCTGGCTCTGATGTTAGAGATTTACTCAAGGTCAGCCATCCCAGGTCTTCTGACTCCCCATTCAGCATAGTACCAAGATTCTCTTACTAAAATAATCTAGACATGCCCTTATCGTCTAATGTTTTATAACTGAAAAATTCATGTGATTGATTTCATGACTCCCTTAGTGACCTTATCAATACTCATGGCTTTAGGTATTCTGTATATATTCTTTCAACTCCTGAATCCAACTCTTTTTACATCTCCACTGATCTCGTCTTAAGGCAAGCCAACATCATCTTTTTTTCTGAATTATTGTAATATACTGATAACTGCAATAAGCTTTTCTTATTTCTGTTCTTAATATAGAAGGCAAACAATATTTTTACAATATTGATTAGATCTTGTAATTTCTCTGCTCAGAAACTTTAATGGCCATCCATCACACTTAGAATAAAAAAGCCAGTCTTCACAGGGTACCTTGTGATCTGACCCCTATTACTTCTCTGTTTTAGTCATACTAGCTTTTTTGCAATTTGTCAAACATTTTAGGCATATTTCTGCCACAGGGCCTTAGCATTCACTTTTTCCTCTGTTTGGAATGTCTCTTTCCAGATATCCACACAGCTCTATCCTTTATTTCCTTTAAGTCACTTTATCAATAAGATATTAAGTGATGACTCTATTTTAAAAAAACAGTAACTGTCCCCACCCATATTCTTATTTATTTGTTTGTGCATTTGTTTATTACCTGTCTCCCTACATTAGAATGTAAATTTATACAGACAGGAATTTCCATCTGTTTTGTTTCTTGCTATTATCCCTAACTCCTAGAAAAATGTTTTACATATAATATGAACTTAGAAAATATGTGGTAAATAAAGACATAGTTGTGGTTGGAAACTAAGAGGTAGAGTTTTCTCTAAATCTTAATTCATTCTCCAATAGGAATTGATTTGAAAAAAATTTTATCCTAAAGAATTGAAATAACTAGATTGAGTGGAATTTTCTTATTTGCTTGTTGCCTTGGGCAAATAACTTAATCCCTGAGATTTAGTTCCTTTGCCAGTAAAATAGGGAATCCTGATAGGGTTTTTATAAGGTTAATAGATATTCTATAAATAATGGCTATATTTATTTTTATTCTGTGGCAGGACTGTTGCTAAATTTGGGGCAGGTCTCATTTAAAGAAAATCATATGTAATATTCTGAGGTGAGAGAGTCTTTTTTTTGTCAGGAGGTGCAGTCTATTGAATATCAAAGATCAATCTAAAATAAAAACTAAGTATTGCTGAAGTTTCAATGTAAGGCATTAGAAACAGTGGTTTAAAATCCAGTATGCATTTAATATGTTTAAATAAGTTTTAAACTTATTGTATTTAATAAGTTGTAGCTTTTTATCATGCAGTCTTTTGGGTAGAGTATTGGGTTCAGACTCAGACATACACGAATTTAAATTCAGTGTCTCCCACTTAATATATCCTTGTCAAAGTTGCAAGCTCTCTGAGCTTTTGTTTTCACATCTATAAGATGAAAATAATACCAATCTAATTGAATGATTAGAGGATATAAAATGAGAAATTGTATGTAAAACACCCAACATAACATAGTGCCTGGTACCTAACAGGCACTCAGTAATTATTAAGTTTTATTATTCTGAGAATACATATACAAAATATGAATGAAATATTGTGATTAATCGTTATCGTGTCAGAATTGTTATTCCCTTCAGAGTAGTGACCTCAGGAGGTTATCTATTTAATCCCATGATTCTGTGATTGATTGGAGTGTTTTTGGAACTCAGCTTTTGAAATTGTCTTCCATATTTGTGATCCGTTCTATTGAAATCCCCTATTTTGAGGGTGGATTATACTTTTTATAGTAATCAAAAAGACTGAAAATTAAGTTTGAAACCAATTTTTGGGATAGCATTGGAATAAGACTAAGTAGTAAGACTGCCTTTCTTATCTTACATGTGTTCTAAAGATGATATTAGATGAGTATTAAATATATTTAGCATTGTAATGATAGTGTTTGAAGTTTAGCGTATAATCTCCTATGATGACTATTTAGACAAGGACAATTACCTCCTAGGTATATAAGTACTGATTTGTTTATTAGAAACTTATTCCCTCAGTGCTTATTTCTGTCTGTTATATTACATAATTGTGTTATTCACTTATGTAGTCAATAATTTACTCCTTTTCCTATAAAAATGCATTTTTTAACTTGTCTCTTTAGCGATCACCAGAATATACTAATTGCCGGTATCTATGCAAACTCTGCTTAATTCACATTGAAAACATTCAAGGAGCTCATAAACATATCAAGGAGAAAAGACATAAGAAAAATATTTTGGTAAGTTCTTTTAAAAAATTCATTTCTCAAATGGTAAAACTGTATCAAATATTTTTTATTTTTATTTTTATTTTTTTTTTATTTTTTTTGAGACAGAGTCTCGCTTTGTTGCCCAGGCTAGAGTGAGTGCCGTGGCGTCAGCCTAGCTCACAGCAACCTCAAACTCCTGGGCTTGAGCGATCCTTCTGCCTCAGCCTCCCGGGTAGCTGGGACTACAGGCATGCGCCACCATGCCCGGCTAATTTTTTATATATATATCAGTTGGCCAATTAATTTCTTTCTATTTATAGTAGAGACGGGGTCTCGCTCTTGCTCAGGCTGGTTTCGAACTCCTGACCTTGAGCAATCCGCCCGCCTCGGCCTCCCAAGAGCTAGGATTACAGGCGTGAGCCACAGCGCCCGGCCTCAAATATTTTTTATTTTTGAAGCTAAAAATGAGGTATTTGTCCAATGTGATGTTAGTAACTGAAGTGATAGCCCTAGAAGCTGTGATTGCTTCCCTTATTTCAGGTGGTGAGAAGAGTAACCTTCTCAAGACCAGTTTGCTCATCCTGAAGAATGTTGTTTCCTAAGTTTAAAGCAGTCAGGTACAATCAATCTATCTAACTGATATTTATTGAATTCTTTTAGGCAATGGTGAATAAGATAGTTATGGTTTCTGCTTTCAGAGTTTCTAAGAATTGGTGAGGGCATACATTGAATAAGGTTTTTAAGTATAATGAACCTTATTAAAAGGGAGAGCATAGTGCTAAAGAAGTGTACAAGGATATTTTACTTGGTCTGCAATAGGGAGAAAGTGACATTGAGTTGAACCTTGAAGTAGTAGGTTAAATGACAAAGAGATGAGTGGCCTGGAGAGGTAAGTGGAGAGCATTTTACACAAAAACGCATGAATAAAAGTCTTTAGGCAGGAAAGGCGATGGCATATGAGGAACTAAAAATCCAGTATGACTAGAGCAGAGAGGTAGGGAGAAAATGGTATGACATGAAGCTAGAGAAGTACAGACCACGCAGGATCCTAAAAGCTTTAGACTTTGGGAGATTGTAATTTTTCAGGTATTTCTGTTAAAATATATCATAGACACAGATATGAATACTTTTCTTTTTTTTTTTTTTTTTTTTTTTTTTTTTTTTTTTTTTTTTTTTGAGACAGAGTCTCGCTTTGTTGCCCAGGCTAGAGTGAGTGCCATGGCGTCAGCCTAGCTCACAGCAACCTCAAACTCCTGGGCTCAAACGATCCTCCTGCCTCAGCCTCCCAAGTAGCTGGGACTACAGGCATGTGCCACCATGCCCGGCTATTTTTTTGTATATATATTTTTAGTTGGTCAATTAATTTCTTTCTATTTTTAGTAGAGACGGGGTCTCGCTCAGGATGGTTTCGAACTCCCAACCTCGAGCAATCCGCCCGCCTCGGCCTCCCAGAGTGCTAGGATTACAGGCGTGAGCCACTGCGCCCGGCCGAATACTTTTCTTTTTAAAGTGTATTAATATATTAACTATTTAATTTTTTCTTTTTAAAGTTACAGTAATAATACTGTGTAACATGTTGATGATCCATCTCTAAGTCTCAGTTCATACATCTTCTCTGAGAAGTAGTCTTTTACCTGACCCTTTCAGCAGGTCTGGGTAAGGTACTCCTTTGTGCTCCCAAAGCAGCTTTTGCATACCTTGATCAGAAAACCTAATGCCCTGTATTCTTGTTGTCTGCCTTCTCTCCCCTTCTAGACTTCATTATTCAGTATTGTAGAGGGCAGGTTTAGTTTCTTCATTAATTTTGTTTCTGAATTGCTAAGGACAATATCTGACACGTAGGAGGTACTCAGTATATTTTTCTTGAAAAAATGAATGCACGGAAGCAAATCAGGAACTTTGAAGGAAAGAAATCATTCACACTTCACCAGCCTATTATTTTGATTTAATTAGAGCTTGAGAAGATTTAATAGGACAGAGACAAGGTGGTAGGTAGGAGATAATAATTGGGAATTTTCCATTAATGTTGAAAGATGCTAATCATTAGTTCTAGGAGGTTCAGATTATTCTAAGAAAGATACTTAAGAAAACCATACTTATACACATTACAGGTCAAGTATCCCTTATCCTAAATGGTTAGGATCAGAAGTATTTTGGATTTTGGATTTTTTCAGAATTTGGAATATGTGCATTATACTCCAATGAGCATTTCCTTTGAGCATCATGGCAGTGCTCATAAAGTTTCAGATTTTGCTGGGTGCAGTGGCTTGCACCTGTAATCCGAGCTACTCAGGAGCCTGAGCAAGGAGGATTGCTTGAGCCCAGGAGTTCGAGACCAGCCTGGGCAAAATAGCAAGACCCCATCTCAAAAAAATCATCTATGAAACACAGTTAATATCATACTTAATGGTGAAGACTGAAGGCTTTCCCCTCAAGATTGGGAAAAAAGACAGGTATGAATATGCTACTGTGGAAAAGAGTATGGTGTTCCTCAAAAAATTAAAAATAGAACTGCTGTGTGATCCAGCAACTTCACTTCTGGGTATAAACTTAAAGAGCTTGAAAGCAGTGTCTCAAAGAGATATTTGTACACCCATATTCTTAGCAACATTATTCACAGTAGCTAAAACATGGAAGCACTCTCAGTGTCTATTGACAAATGAATGGATAAGCAAAATGTGGCATATTCATAAAATGGAATATTACTTAGTCTTAAGGATGGAAATTCTGTAATGTGCTACAAAATGGAGGAACCTTGAGGGATTATGCTAAGTGAAATATGTTAGTCACAAAAAGAAAAATACCATATGATTCCACTTATATGAAGTTTTTAGAGTAGTCATAAAAAAATAAAGTGGTGATTGCCAGGAACTGGGAGAAGCGGGCAATGGGAAGTTATTGCTTGATGGATGTAGAGTTTCAGCTTTGTGTATGTATACTATGTTAAAGTGTTTGGATTTTATTTTCAGCATTATGGAGCTTAATGACATGTATTTTTGCAAGGTCACTGGCATCAGTGTGAAAGAAGCCTAAGAAGGGTCTATTTGGGGAGACCAGTTAGTCTTTTGTGATTATCTAGTTAAGCAATGATGAACATTTGATCTGAAGTAGTTGTGATAATGGAATAGGATGTAGAATTGTGGAGGTGGAGGCCTAGGATGTCTAGAATGCTCATAAGGTATCTAATTTAAGATGTTATCATAGGTTATGGTGTCATTTACTTAGAGGAAATAAAGCAGTGTTTCAGAATATACTCACTTTGAGACACTTATGGGACATTTCAAGTAGAGATTTCCCGTAATCATTTGCATATAAGGATCTGGAACTTATATTAGGAGCTGGAGATTCAGATTTGGTAATCTTCAATATATTGAAGTCATGGGTGTGGGTAAGAACACCAGAGGAGTGAAAAAGAGAAAAGATCAAGTAACACAAACATTTGAGGGACTAGTAGAGGAATAGCAGCCAATAGACTGGTGAAGAAGTAGTCCAAAGTGTGATAATACAGGTAAAAATAATCTGAGATCTTGAAAATGTCTGATTTAGCAACTAAGGAGGTTTTCATAATCCTGGTGAGAGCGGTTTCTGTTTTAGAGCTAAAAAATACATAGTTTTGGCCTGGCGCGGTGGCTCACACCTGTAATCCTAGCACTCTGGGAGGCCAAGGTCAGGAGTTCGAAACCAACCTGAGCAAGAGCAAGACCCCATCTCTACTAAAAATAGAAAGAAATTAATTTGCCAACTGAAAAAAAAATATATATATATATAGAAAAAATTAGCCGGGCATGGTGGCACATGCCTGTAGTCCCAGCTAGGTACTCAGGAGGCTGAGGCAGAAGGATTGCTTGAGCCCAGGAGTTTGAGGTTGCTGCGAGCTAGGCTGACTCCATGGCACTCTAGCCCAGGCAACAGAGTGAGACTCTGTCTCAAAAAAAAAAAAAATACATAGTTTTGAGTAAGCAGGGGTAAGGGATTTAAAAGGAGGGGTTGACTCAATTTTCAGGAAAATTCATAGTGAAGGAAAAAAAGGAAGATTGGTAGTAGCAGACGTGGCATACAGGATCTTTTCTTTTTTTTCCTTTTAATATGGCAGAGTAAAACTCTTACCACAGTTTTAATTTTTTATTTATTTGAATAATCATTTGATTAATCTTTATCTCTTTCTTGAATGTGAATTCCATGAGGGCAGGGATTATATGCATTCTTTTTTTCCCATTGTAACTCCATTGCCTGGCACAGTGCCTGGCATATAGTTGCTTTTCTTGTGCTTGTGGCCATTTGTATTAATATATCTTCTTTGGAGAAATGTTTATTCAAGTCCTTTGCCCATTTTTGAATTAGGTCATTTTTTGTTTTCCAGGCAAAATAGCAAGACCCCATCTCTGTTGTATATTTTGATATTAATCCCTTATTAGATATATGATTTACAGATGTTTTCTCCCATTTTATGGGTTGCGTTTATACTGTGTTGATACTGTCTTTTGATGAACAAAAATTTAAAATTTTCATGCAGATAGATTTATTTTTTCTTTTGTTGCTTGTGTTTTTGGTGTCATATCCAAGAAATCATTGCCAAATCCAATGTCTTGAAGCTTTCCTCTTCTGTTTTCTCCTCAGAGCTTTATAATTTTAGGTTCTTAGTTATGGTTTTATGGTTTGAGGTTTAGTTTTCAGTTTCTTACATTTAGGTCTTGAATCCATTTTGAGTTAATTTTTGTGAAGGTCACATCCAACTTCATTCTTTTGCTTGTGGATATCCAGTTTTCTTTGCATCATTTGTTGAAAAAACTGTCCTTTCCCCATTGAATGGCCTTCGCACACTTGTCAAAAATCATTTGACCATACATGTGAGGGTTTATTTCTGGTCTGTCTATTCTATTCCATTGGCTTATATATCTGCCTTTATACTAGTACCATACTATTTTGATCACTGTTGCCTTATAATAAGGTCTTGAAACCAGAAAGAGCAAGCCTTCTAGCTTTGTTCTTCTTTATAAAGATTTGGGGTCCCTTGAGATTCCATATGAATTTTATTTGAGATTTCTATAGGGATTACATTGAATCTTTAGATTTCTTTGGGTAGTATCAACATCTTAACAATTTTAAGTCTTCCAATTTGTGAACAGTTTTTCTGTTTATGTTTTCCTTAATTTAGTTCAATAATGTTTTATAGGGTATTTTTCCATAAGAGATAGGGTTTTACTTTGACAGGCTGAAGGGCAGTGGCCTGATAGTAGCTTACTGCAACTTTGAATACCTGGGTTCAGATGATCCTTCTGCCTCAGCCTCTCAAGTAGCTGGGACTATAGGCATGCACCACCATGCCTGGCTAATTTTTAAATTTGTTTGTAGAGATGGGGGTCTTACTATGTTGCCCAGGCTTTCCCTGAACTCCTGGCCTCAAGTGATCCTCCCACCTAGGGTCTGCCAAAGTGCTGGGATTATAGGTGGGAGGAGCTACTGTACTTATAGCTTTCATTGTACAAATCTTTCACTTCTTTATTTATGTAGTTCCTTAGTATCTTATTATTTTTTATGCTGTTATATATGGGATTGGTTTTTAGTTTCCTTTTAAGATTGTTAATTGTTTGTGTATAGAAATGCAGCTGTTTTTCATGTTGACTTTGTATCCTGCTGCTTTGCTGAATTCAGTTTAGTTCTAAACAGTTTGTGTGTGTGGAATCTTTGGGTTTTCTACATGTAAAATAATATTATCTGCAAACAGGGCTAATTTTATTTCTTCCTTTCTAATTTTGCTGCCTTTTGTTTGTTTTTCTTGCCTAATTGCTCTGGCCAGTACTTTGTTGAATAGAAGTAGCAAAAGAGACATCCTTGATCCTGATCTTAAAGGAAAAGCTTTCAGTCTTTGACCATTGAGTATGATGTTAGCTATGGGTTTTTCATATATTGCCTTTATTATGTTGAGTTAGTTTCCTTTTACCTCTAGTTTGTTGAGTGTTTTTTACTACAGAAGAGTTTTGAATTTTGTCAGATGCTTTTTCTGTGTTAATTGAGATAATCTTTTTTTTTTTTTCTTTATTTATTTAATTTTGGTACGGTGGTGTATTACATTGATTGTTCATTGTATGTTGAACCATCCTGGCATTCCAGGAATAAATCCCACTTGGTCGTGGTATATTACCATTTGAATATGCTGCTGAATTTGGTTTGCTGGTATTTTGTTGAAGATTTATTGAAGGTTTTTAAGTAGGAGGATTATGGTAGCAATATGGAGAATGGGATAAAGGGCCAAAGATTGGAAATGCTGATTTATTAGGAGGCTCTTGCCTCTTGGGTAAGTTTTCTTAGTCTAAACTAATTCTTTCTGGAATTTATTTCATTTCAGCAGAAGACACCATCAATCACTCATTTATTTAGGACAAACACCTTTAAATCATCCTTGATTCATCTTTTTCTCTTATACCATACATTGAAACCATCATCAAATTCTACAGACTTTATTTTCAAAATATTATGTTTCTAAACTCAGGCATTCATTGCATACTTCTACTTCCTACTTTAGTCTAAGCCCCCATCATCTTTCACCTGGACTATTTGTAACTTACCTCCTCTGCTCCCTACAATCTGTTCTCCATTTAGCAACCAGGATTGTTCTTTTAAAATGTCATATCATGTTACTGAGTCCTCTTAGCCCCTCAATGGCTTTTCAACTTAGAATAAAATCCAAAGCCCTTACCAAGTCCCGTAAGATCATACAATATTTGATTTCTTATTAACTCTTCAACCTCATTATCATCCACAGTCTCCCCTTTGTTAGTCAGTTACAGCCACCTTGGTCTCCTCAAATAACATGAGGGACTTTCTTGCTTCAGAGTCTTTGCATTTGCTATTCTCTTTGTCTGGAATGCTGTTAACTTACATGTCTCTCTCCTTCACTTCATTCAGGTCTCTGATTAATGTTACCTGTTCAGAGTGGACTTTTTTTGTCCACCTTATTCTAAATAACACACTTTGGGAAGCTGAGGTGGGGGGATCACTTGAGGCCAGGAGTTTGAGACCAGCCTGGTCAATATAAAAAGATCTCATCTCTACAAAAAATAATAATAAAAATTAGCCGGGTGTGCTGGTGCACTCCTGGAATTCCAGCTACTCAGGATCGTGAGATGGGGGAGGGTTGTGAGATGGGGGAGGGTCGTGAGATGGGGGAGGGTCGTGAGATGGGGGAGGGTCGTGAGATGGGGGAGGGTCGTGAGATGGGGGAGGATTGCTTGATCCCAGGGATTTGAGGAGTGTACTACGATCATGCTACTGTATTCCAGCCTGGGTGACAGAGCAGACTGTCTCAAAAAAAAAAAAACAAAAAAAAAAAACTGCATGCAAAGCTGGAGGAAAGAAATTAAAAACAAAACACAACAATAGCAACAAAATAATACTCCCTTCCCATCATTTTTTAGCCTTTTCCCCAATTTTATTACTCTTCATAGCACTCTCATGACATGATATATTTATTGTCTATTTCCTTTAACTAGAATTTAAATTATATGAGGGCAGGCTGGGTGCGGTGGCTCACGCCTATAATCCTAGCACTCTGGGAGGCCGAGGTGGGAGGATTGCTCGAGGCCAGGAGTTTGAAACCAGCCTGAGCAAGAGTGAGACCCTGTCTCTGCTATAAATAGAAAGAAATTAATTGGCCGACTAATATATATAGAAAAAATTAGCCGGGCATGGTGGCGCATGCCCGTAGTCCCAGCCACTCGGGAGGCTGAGGCAGTAGGATTGCTTGAGCCTATGAGTTTGAGGTTGCTGTGAGCTAGGCTGACGCCACGGCACTCACTCTAGCCTGGGCAACAAAGGGAGACTGTCTCAAAAAATAAATAAATAAATGAATGAATGAATGAATGAATGAATGAATGAATGAATGAATAAATAAATAAATAAAAAATGAGGGCAGGGACTTGATTGGTAATGTATGTGACAGGCAATATAGAGGATATCAGGAAGATAAGAGGATGGTCAATGATAGGATATCAGTGAGAGTGTTTGATGGAACAATAATCCTAAAGGAAGTAGGATAGGCTTATTAATAGCTTAGGGGGAGGAGTTTGTTCCTTAATTGTCTTTTATTAGCACTATAATTCAGAGCATTTTGTGGTACTTCCATGTATATAAACATAATTTTGTAGCATGTTGATCTCTTATTATTGTTTCATTGTCTGTTGCTATTAATCTGTTGGATGAATCCTAAAAAAGTAGTCCTGAAAACTTAGATGCTCTCCCAAGATTTAGATTATAATTAAAAATCCCAGAAATGGTCACAGAAATTTATAGAAATGAGGTTTACTTATCCCCCCCATGTTTGATAACTCTGCACCTGGGTAAGTTTTGCTTATGTTAAGACTGAATATGGTAACAGTGAAAATCAATGTGGACCCAAGTCTTTACTTAACTATATTGGGGTGAGTGTGTGGGGAAACGAGCTAGTTTTAGCTATTATATCTGATGGGAGCATCATGTCTCAAAAGATGAGAGAGTATTTCTTTTTTTCCTTTTTTAAGAGACAAGGTCTCTCTGTTGCCCAGGCTGGAGTGCAGTAGAGTAATCACAGCTCACTGCAGCCTCAAACTCCTGGTTTCAAGTGATCCTCCCACTTCTGCCAAGTTGAGTAGTTAGGACTACAGACGTGAGTCATCACTCCTGGCTAATTTTTAAAAATTTTTTGTAGAGACAGGAGTCTCATTATCTTGCCCAGGCTGGTCTTGAACTCCTGGGCTCCAGGGATTCCTCCTGTCTTGGTCTCCCAAAGTGTTGGAATTACAGGCATGAGCTACCATGCCCGGCCAGAGATTGTTTCTTGACTGCAAAGTGTTATCAGAAAATGCTTATAATACTAAATGAAAGAAACAGTATGGTCTCAGATATGTTAAAAAATGAAGTAGATAGTAGGATTTGAGATTGTGGGTGATTTTCTCCTTTGTATTTTCCTTTATATTTTATATTTTGTAAATGGCATCTTTTCGTAATCAGAAAAATAATTTATAAAAGTCATTGTGTATATATAACATAGTCCCTTTTTAGCTCCTTGGTTTAAATGGACTTTCAATCTTTTAGCAGAATGGAGATTTCTTGAATATTTTGTATAACTTCGGTTTGCTAAAATAACGAGAAATCAATTGTAAATACTAGGCAATGTGGTGATAGAGTCCAGGAAGTCTTCCTGTGACCATTTAATCTGATACTGTATATGCTGATTAGATACGATTCAAGACTTTTTGCTACATCTGAGACAATCTTCCTTGGTGCAACAGAATTGTCAGCTAAGTGTTGTATTTATGGTATCTTGGCTTTGGTGTAGCATTTCAGAATTTATGTAGACAGTACAGTAAAACAAATTTTAAGAAGTTAATAGCAGCCACCCCTGTCGTCCATGCCGCATTCTTGGAGACCTTCTTCACAAAGGCAGTATCAGTTTCTTTTGTTCACTAGACCTTCTTCACAAAGGCAGTATCAGTTTCTTTTGTTCACTTCCGTATCATATATGGCTTACATCTGGTGCATAGGTGAATATTTGTTGAGTTAATTTGTTTCTGTTCTTCCCTGCTAAATGTAAGGATATTAAAATAGAATTTTTTTGTCATTATTGTGAAATGTTAACACTAATAGGAAAAACAGGAAGAAAGTGAACTTCGTTCTCTGCCTCCTCCTTCCCCTGCCCACTTGGCTGCTTTAAGTGTTGCAGTTATTGAATTAGCAAAAGAGCAAGGAATAACAGATGATGACCTCAGAGTTCGCCAGGAAATTGTGGAGGAAATGTCAAAGGTTATAACGACATTTTTACCAGGTACAAATACAGTTCATGTTTGATTTTTAAAATCATAAAACTGTTCGCCTTGTTTCCTCTTGAACTAGGATACATTTTTTAATGTTTTTCTTTCTCTTTTTTCCTGTTCTTAAAAGTTAAATAGATTTGATTGTTTTATGAATGACTTTTTTTGGGAGAAATGTTTTAAATAAAAAGAATTGAGATTTATGGCACAGCATAAGTTTGTGGTAGGAAGAAAAAGATTTTCAAAATATTCGATACAGAATAATTTCTTAGTGTTCAAATTTTATATTTTTCAAAATATTATATAATTTTCAGTGTCATTGATTTCTAAATGGAGTTTTTAGTTATATTGTTTTCAGTATAAACATTCCAAATAGTCACTTAATAAAATTCCTATTGCCTGCTGGTAGGGAAAAATTAATTTATTTCAGTAGGGACTTTAGAAAAATGTTGTTTTTTGGTGCAAGGGGATGTCAGGTCAGGTTTATTTGAATCATTTATGTATTGACTAAAATTTGCTGAGCCCATGTCATTTTTTATATCAATATAGGGTTAAAGTAAATGTATCTTAAAAGACTTATTTCTTCCCACCAAAGGGATTTTGTACAGTTGATAAATTATATTTTCATATAGATTTATTTTGAGATTTATAAGAAAGAATATAAAATTGAAATGAAAAATGAAGTATTTTTATTTAAAAATTCTGTAATATGATTTTCTACCTAAAGTATATTGAATTCTAATTTAAATTTATATATAAAACAGTTTATTATTATAGGAAGAAAAGGAATAAAATGTTTATGATTTTAATGACTTGGATGACTTTCAGACATTTTGTGAGCTTGAAAGGTTGACTTTTATACATATAACTGAGCATGAACTTAAAGTTTCTAAGAAACTAAATCTGCCCGATCAGTCCCAATCATGTTATTTTCAACTTGTCCTCTGGTGAGATCTTTTTTAAAATTTGCCTTATTATGATCTTTGAAATAACACATTTGATAGTCTGAGAGAGATATAGGTAGTGTATTATTGCTCCTATTTAATTTTTCTATAAACTCTTGAGAACCACAGAGTCTTTTGGATTTTAGGTTTACAATATCAGTGGACTTGGCTTTACTATTTAAAAAATCATTGGCATCGAATATCTGTGATCTTTTCCCCATTCAGTGTGATATTTCTTACATAAATATCTAAATATAAATGTAGTTTGTGCCAGTAGCTATAACTAGGTTAGTACATTCATTACATTAAATATTGAATGCTAAACATATTCTCAGTCATTTCTCTATGAACTATTACCAAACTTTTGTTCAAACACTGAACTTATATGAATAATTTCTCTCCCTTCTCTGTTCCTGTACCCTATAACTGAGAAATGTTATTTTATAGATCAGTTAGAAAGGGTATCATTCTTGTATAATCGTTTTACTAGAAGTGTGGGAAGATATAGAAATGAAGTGTATACAATTTTTCTGTTGCTTATTTTTTTAAAGCCCCCATGTTTGTACTCCATTTCACGCTTTTGATGTTTTTCCTTTATTCCAGAGTGTTCACTTAGGTTGTATGGCTCGTCTCTGACTAAGTTTGCTCTGAAAAGTAGTGATGTTAATATAGATATAAAATTTCCTCCCAAGGTAAGTAATTAGAAGAGAATCTTTCCTATATAATACCTAATACAATAATTTGGTAATTTTTATAGATTATCTTTTTAGAGAAGGGATAGTGGAATATAAAACTCTGGTTTGCCGAGTGTTACCATCATAACTAATCATTGCTTTTGGAAATTACTATGGGAAAAAAGGAAGCAAAAGAGGAAGGCAGTCAAAGGGGAAAAATGGTTATATCTGAGCATGTTGAATAGTTATTACTTCTGGTATGCAATATTGAAAGTGGAAAGAGTTTTGAAATCAGACATTGGGGTTCAGATCTTGGCTGTGATGAGCAAGTTATTTGATCTTTTTGAGCCTTGGTTTCCTCATTTTCAAAACAGGGATAATAATTTTATATTAAATGTGATAATATGTATCAGGTGTTTTAATATAGTACCTGGCAAGTGATGAGTACTTTTAATAAGTAGCAGTAGTATCATTAGAAATAGTATCAATATTGTTTAGCACTGCTAACATTGCTTATTTGACATATCAAAACATTTAAAATAGTCAATATTTTATGTTTATAAATCTTTGAATAATATGTTTATGCTCAAAAGGGTTGATTTGGGTGACAATTTGGTGTTTTAATTTCTAGTCTGGGGAGGGGGGGTCATGGGCAATATATGTAACCTTAACATTTGTATCCCCATAATATGCTGAAATAAAAAAAATTTCTAGTCTGATACATTTCCTTTCCAATTAATGGGTGATTATTCAAGTGGCTGCAAAGTATACTTTCAACGTTTGACAAGCTTGTTACGTAAAAGTAGTAATTTACTCTAAGCCTTTTGGTCAAGTTGCCCATTTCTGAAAGTTTTTATCTCAACAACTTCTTTTTAATAGTTATTTGGTAAACTTGTTTCTTTTCCATTTGTTTTGCTGTGAAATTGTTTTCCTGTGAGAACTTTTTCTCACTTTAAGAACCCATGAATTCTAGGAATGTTGCTGAAATAATAGTGATGCATCGTTAATTAGATTATACTTCTGTGAACAAAATTTGTTGACATAAAAGTAAAACGCTATTCTGTTTTTATTATTTTAAAATACATAGCATGATTTTATTTAAATGTTACTCTTTAATGGAATTGAGTTCTCCCTAATATTTTGCTACCTAAACTTTGAAATTAGTTTATTGATTTAATTTGAAACTTTTTTAGATGAATCATCCCGATCTTCTGATACAAGTTCTTGGAATTTTAAAAAAAAATGGTGAGTTTCTTTCATTTTTTTTTTTAATTTGTCTTTCTAAAGGTACATACATTGTGTTATTTTATATAGCTAGCCAGGTTAAAACTAAAATTGCTAGCATACTGAGTCACTGTATTACATGTGGACATATATTTGTTTAATAGGTATATTAGAAAATATAATATACCTGTCAGGTCAAAAGTACCATATTAAAATAGATATGTAAAAAACTGCTGCCTTTGGGGTAATTTAAATATTAGCTTTGAATATTATGGGCATTCTTGCGTAAAAGAAGAAAGAAAACCTGTAATTATTAGGAGGTCGTTGATGAAGGCAGTTTAGGAAGAGATTTGGTATAAAAGTGCATTGAGTACATATTTTTTTTTCTCCCCACTTTAAACAATGATAATCGTTTATTTATATCAACTGAGTCTACCTATTTTTTTATATGTACCTTGTCTATGTGGCTTGTATTTGTAAACAGGACATTCATATAGGTAAAAAATACTTTAAAAATAAAATTAAAAAATTATAATATTCGTTGAAATCTAGAACCTAGCCAAAAAAAAAAAAAAAAAAATTATAATATTCTTTAAACCAGGCCCCAGGTCATGTATTATACTCTACAAGATTATTTTCTTGGTTTTAATTTGTTGTTTTTTCTTGTATTAAATTAAATACTTAAGATTAAGCTCAAGATCTGGAGTAAGTTTTCTGGGCTCAGATTTTAGTTCTGCCACTTACTGGTTGTATGTACTTTGACAAATTATTTCAGTGTTAATGCTTTAGTTTTTTCGTCTGTTAAATGGCAATAATGTAGTGTCTTTTTGATGAGGTTGTTAAAGGGATAAAATAGGTTAAGCCATACTTTAGAAGAGTACTTGATATATGATAACCTCTTACTACATTTTTGCTGCTGTGATTGTTTTTATTACTTTAAATTAGGAATTGAAAGTACCTAGCAAAAGTATTTGCAGTTTGGCTTAGAGAGCCCTGGTTTTAGCCTTACCCTCTTATTGGTTTTAATGTCAGTTTTAACCTTTTTCTTTCCTCCTGCCCCATCAACCCTCTTATTTATCAGTTTTCTGCTGGCAATTGTCCTGAGAAATTAGTTTTTAAGGAATGAGTTTGGTACCCTTTATACTATAAAGGTATTTTAATATAGTTTTTTTCTTTATACATACTTGTTTCTAATTACTCAAAACTTTAAAGCTTAAGAGGTGGTATACATAGCTTTTACCTCTCCAGACTTACTAGATAGGATCAACCTAGTACAAATATTTAAAATATGATTTTTGCACTAAAATATGTAAGTAGATCATCTTAAATCATATAACATAGATTTATAAAACTCAATTTCATTTAAAAATTTATTTCCTCCTTTATGTTCTCATTGTATCCTTTACAGACCTTTCTCCTGATACAGGATTTATTTGTTTATATGTTTGTATTCCAAACCTCTTATTGAGCTTTAGGTCTTCAGCACATGTTTTTTGAATAAGTCATTCCAATGAGTACTATTGAGAGATTTTCTTTGAATTTCAAATGAAATAATGTTAATCTGTCTGTTTTTATTTAGATTAGACAATTAAGTCATGGGACTTCCTTGGAGATACAGAGAAAGACTCCAGGGTATAAATGTGCTTCATCTAGTTAGTCCTCCTTTAGCAGCTTTGATTAGGCAGACTCTTCATATATTAATAGGAAATATGGCCAACAGAGTTAGCTTCTACTTGCACCAATAATTTAAGAGAATTAAACTATCAAAGCATGATAGGTCCTCATTTCATGACTCCTGTGGAAATAACCTTCAGAAGTAAGTGATGTCCTCTCTTTGCTGTATCTGTGAAGGTTTAACAACTTTGACTAGATGATCTACTTACTTGGAAACATTCAAACTTTTAGGGATTTTAATGCCTTTCTTCTTAAGGTGATTATAATTTTTGGACAGTATTTGGGACTACCTGTGGTTTGTCATGTATAACAAATGACACCAAGAGAGGTAAGAGATTCTATTGGGTTGATGCTCATGATGAGAAGAGTGCATTATCCCACAGAAGCAATGCGAGTGATTTTTAGAAGGAAACTATTACTTAATGTTTACCATACAGTAAATATTTTAAAGATATTGACATTAGCTTACTTTTTTTTTCTCATTAGTATTATATGTAGATGTGGAATCTGACTTTCATGCTAAAGTTCCTGTTGTGGTGTGCAAAGATCGGAAAAGGTTGGTAATAATGAAGAGAAAATATTATAAAAAAAACCAAACCCCAAACAACCAAATTTGCAGTGAACTATCTATAAGAGAGAAAAGTTTTGTTTTAGATTTCTTACTGGATTAATATGACTAAATAGTTTCTATTCATTAAAAGTAGCAAGCTCATCAAATGCATGTGAATAAGAAATAGAATTACCAGATAGTTGAAAATAAAACAATGTAGGTAAAACTTTCATTTTTTTCCCTCAAGTTCATTCACTCACCCAACAGTATCGAGCATTTACGTATATGTAGGTACTGCTTTGCTCCAGGGATACAAACATAAATAAGAAATAACCCTTCTTCCCAAGAATTTCAGTCTGTTAGAATCTAGTTTTTAGTTCATTGAAAAGAAATGAGTCATTGAAGTCTGATCTTGTCTGTCAAGTCTGATGTCTGTAGGACTGAGAGCAAAGTGCGTTTGCAAAAGGAAACTAAAATAATTCTATCTGAAGTCAGTATGGGAGGCATAGAAACAATACAGAAATGATAAAGTATTCCTTTATTGATTAACTTTTATTTCTTACATTTTAAGATTGTTTTATTTTCTTATTCAAAGCTAGAAGAGTCTGTGGAGATCTAGTTAAATTCCTTACTTTCTAAATTAGAAAATTGAGACCTGGAGTGGTTAATCCAAATTGTCCAAATTCACTTTTTTTTTTTTGAGACAGAGTCTCGCTTGTTGCCTAGGCTAGAGTGAGTGCCGTGGCGTCAGCCTAGCTCACAGCAACCTCAAACTCCTGGCTCAAGCAATCCTGCTGCCTCAGCCTCCCAAGTAGCTGGGACTACAGGCATGCGCCACCATGCCCGGCTAATTTTATATATATATTAGTTGGCCAATTAATTTCTTTCTATTTATAGTAGAGACGGGGTCTTGCTCTTGCTCAGGCTGGTTTCGAACTCCTGGCCTCGAGCAATCCTCCCACCTCGGCCTCCCAGAGTGCTAGGATTACAGGCGTGAGCCACCGCACCTGGCCAAAATGTTCTCTTTTATATCTTAATATATGAGGCTCAAGTTTTCACTCTTATAAGTTAAAGTTGTAACGTTATACAATATGGTATGTAAGTTAAGTTTCTTTTGTTGGCATATTTTTTTCCAATCTGTGAGAATGATACTATCTTCTATATCATTGATAACCTGCAGCATTTTCTGAATGGGGGATTAGTTATCTAAATTTCTTAAATTGGAATTAATTTATATATCTAAAGGCTGTGGCTGTCCTGTGCTCATATCTTTGATGTGGGGGTAGGGAGAAGGAATGGTTAAGTAATTACCAGTATCAGTCCAAGTCATCAGAGAGAGAGAGATTTTTATGTGTGTGTGTTCTTACCATAACAGTACAGTATTCATCACTTGTTAGATTAGTCATGAGTAAATTCTCAGTCTTTTCAGAAAACTGATTAAGAAGGTGGTGGTAGGCCGGGCGCGGTGGCTCACGCCTGTACTACTAGCACTCTGGGAGGCTGAGGCGGGTGGATCGCTCAAGGTCAGCAGTTCTAAACCAGCCTGAGCAAGAACGAGACCCCTTCTCCACTAAAAATAGAAAGAAATTAATTGGCCAACTAAAAATATATACAAAAAATTATCTGAGCATGGTGGCACATGCCTGTAGTCCCAGCTACTTGGGGGGCTGAGGCAGAAGGATTGCTTGAGCCCAGGAGTTTGAGGTTGCTGTGAGCTAGGCTGATGCCACGGCACTCTAGCCCAGGTGACAGAGCGAGACTCTGTCTCAAAAAAAAAAAAATTAAATTAAAATAAAATAAAATAAAAAGAATGTGGTGGCAGAATGATAATTTCAGAGCAAAAACAGCCAGAGGATTCTCTTTGGAATTTTTTTTTTGGACTCTGATTAGAGGATCCCCTCCCTGCCCTCCTCATATGCTTAGAGCAGCACCAGCTTGATGAGTACAGCTTGAAAAGTAAGGAATAGTCAGAAAGCATGAGGTTGGGGCTTCTTTATACTCAAGGCCTTGTATTTGCCATTTCCTTCATGTAGAATATTCTTACCTTAGGTATCCAGAATGTTCTGTGCTTACTTTTTTCAAGTTTCTGCTCAAATTTCACCTTATTGTAGTTACCTAGAGCACCGGTCCCCAATGTTTTTGGCACCAGGGACCAGTTTCATGGAAGACGATTTTTCCACGGATGTGTGCGCGTGCGCAGGTGGAACTCAGGTGGTAATGCCAGTGATGGGGAGTGGCAGTAAATACAGATGAAGCTTAGGTTCACTTGCTCTTGGCTCACTCACCTCCTGCTGCATGCCACCTCCCCCACCATGTAAAATAGCATTTCCTCTATCATTTTCCCTGCCTTTACCTTGCTTTATTTTTTCATAGCATTTACTACCACCTGCCATACATATATTTATTTGTTTACAATCTGTTTTCTTCCATGAGATTATAAACTCTTTGAGGGCACAGATTTTACTCTGTTTCATTGATTCACTTCTGGTCCCCAGTGTCTCTTATTTTACTGTTTCAGAATATAGTACACTCTCAATAAATGTTTGTTGAATAAATTACCCAGCTTCTTTAGAAAAGATATTTTTAGGCTGGGCATGGTGGCTCATACCTGTAATCTCAGCACTTTGGAAGATGAGGTGGGAGGATTGCTTGCGATCAGGAATTTGAGACTGGCCTGAACAACATAGTGACAATCCCATCTGTTAAAAAATTGTAAAAACTAGTCGAGTGTGCTCATGCATGTCTGTAGTCCCAGTTATTCAGTAGGCTGAGGAAGAGGATTGCTTGAGCCCAGGAGTCCATCATCCTGTCTCAAAAAAAGAAGACATGTATATATATATTTTGTATATGGTTATTTGAGTTATAGACAAAGGCATGGAAGAGTACATAGAAGGTTGTTAATAATTGAGGCAGATGAGATAAAGAAAAAAAAAATATATATTTTTAAGAGGTTGTACTCTATTGCCCAGGGTAGAGTGCAGTGGCGCAATCATTGCTTACTGCAACATTGAATTCCTGGTCTCAAGTGATCCTCCTGTCTCAGCCTCCCAAGTGGCTGGGACTACAGGTGCACCACCATGCCTGGCTAATTAAAAATAATTTTTTTTTAAGAGATGGGATATTGCTATGTTACCTAGCATGGTCTTGAACTCCTGGCCTCAGGTGATCCTCCTGTCTTGGCTCCTCAAAGTACTGGGATTACAAGTGGGAGCCACTGTGCCTGGCCTGAGAAAAATATTTTTAAAAGGTGTCCACAGTAAAAGCACTACATACAATATAACTCCATTTAACTAAAATATCTATGTATCTTTTTATGCATAAAAAATGAGTGAAAAGAACAACATGTTAATGTTTTTTATTTCTAGTTAGTGATAATTTCTGGTCATTCCTTATATTTTTCTTTGTTGTTTGCACTTTTTACAATGCTTAGGGTAGTAAAAACAAGCTATTTTTATTGTGAAAATTAAAAGAAGCTAAGTGGTGGTACTTCTCTCCCCCCTTCATTTTGCAGTTGTGTTATATTGACTCCCAAACTGATGGTGGAATCCCTTCTTACTGTTTTGCTTTAATGGTGATGTTTTTTCTACAACAAAGAAAACCCCCTCTTCTTCCTTGCTTACTTGGAAGTTGGGTAAGCATGAATTTGTGATGTATATGTGCATGTATATATGTAGTTTGCTCTTGCACAGTGTTCTGCTTAAACATTTTAAGCTGGAATTCTGGTTTGTCTATCTTTTTTTTTTTTTTTTTAAATAATTTTTCCACTACCAATTTGGAATGCCTTTTCATATAGATTGAAGGCTTTGACCCAAAAAGAATGGATGACTTTCAGCTGAAGGGCATAGTAGAAGAGAAGTTTGTGAAGTGGGAATATAATTCAAGTAGTGCAACTGAGAAAAACTCAATTGCTGAGGAAAACAAAGCTAAGGCAGACCAACCAAAAGATGATACCAAGAAGACAGAAACAGACAACCAAAGTAATGCCATGAAGGAAAAACATGGCAAAGTAAGCTTTTTTGTTTTTGTTTTTGGCTTTTCTATCTGTAGAATTTGTGATGCCTTCGATTGAAGCTATTTGAATAGTAGATTGACCTTGAGTACGCCTCTTGGCCTCATTTTCCTCATCTATAAAGTGAGGGGTTGATCTGGTTTAGTTTTTCAGTACCGAGATACCCTAATGAATTTATATACCTCATTTTGGAAAACTTGTATTGTTTGAATCATGTGAAGGTAATTCTATCTTTTTTCATTTAGGCAAAGAAAATTTCCTTCAGGAGTTGGTCTCTGACCAGACTTTCATATATGGGAATTATTGCCAGATTGGGTGGATAAATAAAGGCCCTGTGCTTTATGAAAGGGTGGCTTGCTTATTTGATCATTCAACATTCATTTATTAAGGACCTGCTATGTGCCAGTCATTATCTTGAGTGCTAGAGAACCAAAGATGAATATACTTAGATTGTGGCTTCTAGATGCTTGTAGTCTTCTGAGTAGAGAGATGCATCATTACAGAAGTCCAAACTTTTCTGAAATCATTGCTTTAGCTATACTGAATTATTTGTAGTTCCTGGGATAAACTTCCCTACTCCATTCAACTCTCCCACTTTCCTAGACTACCTTTTACCTCTCTCCTCAGACTACCACAGTACTCTCAGCTAGTGATTTTGCTTATAACTTTTTGAGAATTCTGAAGCAATCAAAAGAGAACTTCTACACACTTCTATCATTATCTATCACCTGTACTCACATATTCTGCCTTGTGGCTTGTCGTTTTTTTTTTTGTTTTTTTTTTTGTTTTTTAAGAGATAGGGTCTTGCTCCCTCTCTCAGGCTAAAGCGCAGAGTGGCATGATCATAGCTCACTGCAGCCTCCAACTCCTGGGGTTAATCAATTCTCCTGCCTTGGCCTCACAAGTAGTTGGGACTACAAGCACATACCACCATGCTTGGCTGGTTTTTAATGTTTTTTTTTTTTTTTTTTTTCCAATTAATTTATTTCTATTTATAGTAGAGACGGGGTCTCGCTCTTGCTCAGGCTGGTTTCGAACTCCTGACCTCGAGCAATCCGCCCGCCTCAGCCTCCCAGAGTGCTAGGATTACAGGCGTGAGCCACCGCGCCCGGCTCAAATTCACTTTTTAAGGGAAAATTAGAATTGGAAAAGAGGCAGTCTGACTTCTAATGTTTTTTTCCACCACATTGTGTCAAATTGCCTCTGTATGGCAACCTCAGATTCATTCTTCTCTCTGCTTCCAAAATATCTCTGTTACACTCTGTCACCCCATTTAAGGTAGCTGTAGTTTTCACTTACGTATAACTATAACCTGAGCATTAATATGTAAACCTTTCTAATCTTTAATCTGAAAATAACATCAATAAAATCATGAAAGCTTGGAATAGGAAAAATTAAGAAATATAAGGCCGGGTGCGGTGGCTCACGCCTGTAATCCTAGCACTCTGGGAGGCCGAGGCGGGCGGATTGCTCAAGGTCAGGGGTTCGAAACCAGCCTGAGCAAGAGCGAGACCCCGTCTCTACCATAAATAAAAAGAAATTAATTGGCCAACTAATATATATATAGAAAAAATTAGCCGGGCATGGTGGCGCATGCCTGTAGTCCCAGCTACTCGGGAGGCTGAGGCAGGAGGATCGCTTGAGTCCAGGAGTTTGAGGTTGCTGTGAGCTAGGCTGATGCCGCGGCACTCACTCTAGCCTGGGCAACAAAGCGAGACTCTGTCTAAAAAAAAAGAAGTATAGCTAGCTAGTTTATTATTTCATTTTTTGCTTTTCTTATGTGTAAAGCAAAAAGAATGAACTAGGAAATGATGTTGCACTATTTGACATTGAGTAGATCAATGTCCTTTTATATAAATCAAATTTTGGTGATTCATAATGCTGTTTTTGAAATTAATTTCTCATGAACTTGAATACTAAATGAGGTTGAAATTTATTTCTGAAGTATAAATGAACATTAAAGACATCTTTCTGCTGGGCATGGTGGCATGTGCCTATAGTCCCAGCTACTTGGGAGGCTGAGACAAGAGGATCACTTGAGGTCAGGAATTCAAGGTTACAGCAAGGTATGATTAGGCTACTGCATTCCAGTCTGGGCAACAGAGCTAGATCAGGCCTCTTAAAAAAATAAACTAAAACACACACACAAAGTGTCTTTATGTAATTTATGTGGAACATTAGTAATAGAAATTATATATAGTTTTTATTTACCTCTAAGCTTATTAAAACATTTATTTATTATGACTTTTAAGGTACTGTATTAAAATATGGTGACTGGAAAGGGTAGCAGCCATAGGACTTGAAGTATACTGCTTTTTAAGGTATTAATACAGTGAAATTTGCTTTTTTTCTCATTCACAGTGGTTTACTTTGTAGAGTAAGTGCAGGAAATGATATGGCATGCCTCACTACTGATTTACTTGCTGCTCTTGGCAAAATGGAACCTGTCTTTACTCCCTTGGTGTTAGCCTTTCGCTACTGGGCTAAGGTAAGTGAAACAGAAGGAAAAGTATTTAATCTTCACAGTCAGGTTTTTTCTTGCACTGACATGTAACATAAATTGTAACATGTGGGACAAAGTAATTATCTGTGCCAGACAGAGAGGTGTGGCAGGTTCCAGTTAATGGACATCAGAATAAAGTCTCAAAGCCATATAGACTTACAGATATATTTTGGAATTTTTAATTGTCATAATTTATTCTCTTCTTATATACTATAGAAATGTTCTCTTTTTTTTTTTTTTGAGACAGAGTCTCGCTCTGTCACCTAGACTAGAGTGCCGTGGCATCAGCCTAGCTCACAGCAACCTCAAACTCCTGGGCTCAAGCAATCCTTCTGCCTCAGCCTCCCAAGTAGCTGACTAAGACAGCGCCCCATGCCAGTCAATTTTCTTATCTGTATATATTAGTTGGCAATTAATTTCTTTCATTTATAGTAGAGACGGGTCTTGCTCTTGCTCAGGCTGGTTTCAACTCCTGCCCGACAATCCTCCCACCTCGGCTCCAGAGTGCTAGGATTACAGGCGTGAGCCACGACTGGCCAAAATGTTCTTTTATAATCTAATATATGAGGCTCAGTTTCATCTTATAAGTTAAAGTTGTAAGTATAGCCAGCACAGCAGTTGTTTATATAATAAGAACTAGACACAGTCTATTATATTAAGCACTTATTATTATTACATGTCGGCAGAGTATTTGCTTTTTCAACTCGGATGATATGATACTATCTTCTACTACAGAAAATGATAAATCTCAATATAACTGTAAGGGGCGATTAAGGATATTCGCTATAATTTTCATTCTTATCATTTGCATTTAGATTTATTATGAATGAGGATACATACTAGAGTTTCCTGCTAGAGTAGTTCCTATATTGTGCTATGCTGACGGGATTACGGAAATAGAATGGTAAATGTATTCCAGTATCAGCTCAAGCATGCAGAAAAGAGAGAAAAGCAGTTATTAGATGTGTGGTTTCTTACCTCTCTGACAAAAGACGTTTTAGATGCTAAGATACAGGTCTGACTTACATACATATCACGCTTATTTAGGCTTTCTAGCATAATTAGCATCCTGTACGCTTCAGCATACTGTTAATCTGGAGAAGATAGTATGGACTTTCTGTACACCCAGAGCTGGATGCGCGTCAATAAATAATCGCTGCTGATGTGGCTGGTAGGCATACGTGGAGTTCAGCCTGTACTCAGCAGCATACTCTGTGGTAGAGCATGAGGGCTGAGGTGAGGGGATCGCTCAACGCGCTTGAGGTGCAGGTAGTTCATTACGCAAGCCCTGGCAAGACCGGCTGTAGCCTGTGCTCATCGGAATAAATCGATAAAGAGCTGTTAGAATGCATAAAGCCATAATACATATATACCTTAAAAATACTTCAGCCGGCGGCAACCTATCAGTAGCTCAGCTAGCCTGGGGCTTGAGCAGAAGTAGTTGCTGAGCACCGAGTTGTCGATCGCTGTGTACGCTAGAAATTTTAAAGTATGCAGGGACTCTAGAGCAAGTCAAGAAATCTAGAGCGATAAAAATAATGATCATTCCAAAACATCTGGATATAATAATAATATATCATAATATAAGAAATAAAATAAAAACGCTGAGTTGCGAATGAAATTCGATTAGCAAATACTGCCAGATGCGATAATCGCTTTCTCTATTTGGATATTTGGTATAGTAGTACACTGATTAGAAGGAAACCATCTCTTTGTCTTCTCGCTACATGTAGATCATGCCCATAGCTTGGTAGTCACACTGAAAGTAAGACTAGGCTTACTGAAAGCAGGTTGAGTTGGCTTAGTATATCAAGTGGCAGTAGGCTTATAGCAATTTACTTCATCTAGCTACACTGCAGGCTCCTTTCTTAGATATCATTATCTAGCTCTAGCAGCTTCTCCTTGCTACAAGGCGTCCTTCGCTGAGTTCCACGCCTCATTGGGACTTTACATAGAGCCGTCCAGGTTGTGCAGCGGACAGTTTCATGGAGACGATTTTCCACGATGTGTGCGCCGTCCGGAACTCAGGTGTAATCCAGTATTGAGTGGCATAAAACAGATGAACAGGACATCTTGCAGCACTCCACCCACGCTCTTGCTATCACTCCTGCTGCGATGCTCACCATTTTTCCTCCTCAGGTTATAATTAGAGTATGTAGACGCCGCGTCTATCCTCATTCTTCCCTGCTTTACCTTCGCTTCTATTGCTTCCTGAGCATTTTATACCCCGCGCTCTAGAATGCTGAGATCTGGGATACAGTTTATTTGCTTTACAGATCTGTTTCTCCTGATCGATTTCATAACGAAACTGTCGTTGAGGCACACTCTCGCCGGATCTGGCTGTGGGTCATTGATCCCTGCGTGCCAGTCGTCCTTATTACAAGCTGTAGTCGCTAATTAGTACACTCTCATCAATGTACATTGTGTGTACATAGAGCCAAACCTAGCCACCAATCTTTAGAAAGATAATCCTTAGGCTGGCATGCCAGTCAGG